AATTTCAATAATTCTAATATTATTCAGTTCTCAATAAATAAATCTACCAATTGACCTATCGATGAAAACATAATGAATTTGTAATAAAACAAAATAATAAATCATATATATAAAATATTAACTAAAATAAAGAATAGTAGTTAAAATAAAAATATATAATTTTAATTATAAAATAAATACATTAAAGAAATTTAATTTTACTCGATGATATTTAACAACTACTTAATTAATATTACAATATAAATTTTGGGATTCAAATCCAAAATTGACTATTTTACGTATATATATAATTTTTTTTAATCGTAACGATTGTGTATTACATCAAATACGCCTTTCTGTAATTGTTTGATGAAAATATTTATAGAAGATTTATTTCTAAATATATAAATTGCTTTAAAATATTTGAAATATTTTTATTTACTTGTTAAAAATACAATTTAATAAAAAATAATTTTTTGTCAAATATAATAAAAGAAACACGTGTTTAAAATATATACAACTTATTTAATAAAAATTTCATTATTATTAACATCGATGAAAATTATTAAAATTTATCTAAATATTTTTTTAGTTAAAATAAATCTACAATTATTCATACAGGTATTACCGATTAACATTTTTATTAACATAAAATTTCTATAACTTCAGACATTAGAACATAATATCTTCTATTAAATCAAAATATTTTTCTTTTTAATTAGTAATTCATGAGGTTATTTTTACTCAATTAAAATCGAATATAACCGTATTTGAATTTCGCGTACGTCTGCTACGAATACGAATATTATTGCTATTGCTATTCGTGTTTCTATTATTACAAGAATATTTATAGGAATTCTAGTTTCACTTTAGGTATATGCGAAGCAAATCAAGTTAGATTTTTTTTACCAAATTCAAAATATCCTAGTACAAAAAATAAATAGAATTATGACTACTGATAATGAATATCTGATAATGACAATGATATAATAACTACTGATAATGATACACTTATAGAATATTAAATTTGATTCATCCATTATTATTTATAACAATATTTAATAATATATTTAAAACTATGGAATTTTTATTTATAATAATTTTAAAATATGTCGTTATAAGAACGAAATATTTAACAGATAGTTTCCAAGCACAATTGTATTAATTAATTTAAAAATATTAATATGCTTTATAAAGATATACGTACATAGCAAATAAAATGTAAACGAAAGTCTTTTTAGAATTGTTAGAATATTAAATTCAATTTGTGCTATATACATAAAGATCTTTAGTATTGAAAAAAAAAAATTATAATTATAAGAAAATCTTAGAAACCAGGAAAAATTTAATACCTTGTTACCTCTAGATCGTTTTAGCTCTAAATATAATATTCTTTTCTATAACAGTAAAATAGATTTATGTATTAATTGTCTTGGAATACATAATAGTAAATTATCTATTTTTTTATTATTTTCCAAGATTTTTTATTTTCTGTAACGATGAAATAATAAGAAATTTCTTTCTTTCTTTCTTTCTTTCTTTCTAAAGTATTTTTCTTATATTTTTACATTTTCTAAAATATCTTTCTTACCTAAAGTAATGACTTACATTTCTAAATTTCTACAGTACTAATATATTGCAGCATATATATTTATGTATTATTTATATCATATCCTTTCTTATGTTTGTGATTTTTACAACTTATTTTTGTGAACTTATTTTTGCCTATTTATGTAACCATATTGCAACATATAAAATTAAATTAAATATAAAATATTCAGATAGCATAATAATAAAAATGTCGATAAATAAAAATATGCGGTTGAAGATTAATTATAAGCGTGTAAATAACTTTACAGTCAGCCCAAAAAGAAATTACATATACAAAAAGAAATTAATTTAAATAATGTACAAATAAGATACCATTTATAATAAATATAAAATTATTTAATTTGGGTTACAGAATCAATAACTATAATTATTAAAAGTAGAAAATATTTGAGCTAAACGAAACACCTATTAAAATTGGAGATATTAATTAGGCAAGTACGGATGTCGCGAATAGCTCGATGTTTTATCGATCGTATTGTGTTGTATACAATACAATTATTAAATATTAGCTTCCGTGCCTTTGTGCGTGACGACTGGAGGTTATTAGATAAAAAAAAACTTTGAAAAAAAGCATAAATTTCTTTTTTTGAAATAGGTAATACGCTTAATGAGAAATTATTTATATTGATATTACATTTATTAGACAAAAAAATATCCAAAGTAAAGGGACTTGAAAAAGTCGAAGAATATTACATCAAATTTTTGAAGTAGATAGTTATATACTTATTTATTGACGAATATTTTCACGTTGAATATATTTTATAGTATATATTTTAGAATACTTTACTTTTTTTTCATATGCTGAAAACAAGAGATTCGTAATGCAGATGGATCGGCTTAAAATAAGACTTCAGCGTCATTTGCAGCATCTTATATGCTAACGCCTACATCGCAACATAGATGAGGAAGAATCCGACGAAAAACTCTTGACTTTTTTGAATATTCATTAGTCTATATTCTATAAGGAGACTGCTGTTGGCCTTATTTTTCGTATAATGCAGATATTAACTTATATGAGTTACGTCATCGTGAATTATAAATGTGTATAACCAAAAAATCTAATCTTATAAATAACAGTGTATTTAAAAAATATATTCATGCAAAATCTACCTTTTTGGTAATATATTATAAAAATAATAGGAAAGTAGATATATAAAGAAATTTATAATATAAAATATAAGGTAATAAATTATGTAACCAAGTGTTTCGAATAATGGGTATTTCGTTTTTAATTAATATTACACTTAAATATTAATTTATCTAATAAATATTTAATTCGCGCATTTATATTATAATATTAAAGAAACTGTTGGATTTTAAATTTTTTTTAAAAAACAATGGGTTAATAAAATATTATGTTGAAGAATTTTAATATTTTCCAAAATAGAAACTAAAAATCGTAAATCGTATAGTTATTTCACGTTACATAATTAATTCGCATTTATATAAAAATTTATCAATAGTAAGTTATTTTAAAAAAATATTCACTTTAATGATTAGTAAAATGCTATTTTATATAAAGATTTATAGTAAATAGCCAACATAAATAAATGAGTTTTAAAATGAAAATAGTACGAACAAAATTAATATATTGGTTCATAAATAATTTTCATTTATCAAAAATATTTTTATATAATTGTTTAATCCTACATCCCTCATTAAATTAATTTTTAAACAATAATAATAATCTTTATTGAAACAATTTTATTAAAAAATCCTTCAAACAAATATGGTTTCGTAATACACTATCTACACGAATAACAAATTAAGAATACAAATACGAACTTTAAAGACTTAAATTACTTTCATCAAGCACTTAACGGAATTGTGTCAATTAATAATAATTTTGAAATCATAACTTATCTTTTAGATTTTATGAAAAAAAAAAAAAATTGACCCTTAATATAATGTATATATTTTCAATACGTTAATACAACAATTACTAGGTATTAAATATATTATAAATAACATAGTAATTTAATTAATTATATGATATATATATGTGCTCGCGGACACGTGTTTAACTGTGTATAAATGTGTATAAATTTTAAGCTGGTCTCATAAAAATGGTTTAGTCTTATCATTTTATCATTTTATCTTAGGTACAACATTGAAACTGTCTTTTTAAATATATATATATATATATATATATATATATATATACTATGGATACCCAATAGCATTGCATGATGTTCTTGATATACTACATGACTATTATCAACAGAAAGTTAAAAACTAATAATGATAAATTGACTTTCTACATTATCGAATAAGAAAATCAATATATATATATATATATATATATATATATATATATATATATATATATTTATTTATTTACAATTATCAACATTACCGACTAGTTCTCTATATCATCAAAAGTTGGTAAAATGTAACAAAGAATATATACTTACAATTTATATTAATATTATTGTACAAATGATATATGTATTTAACGTTTATAGAAATGACAGTCTTATTTATAAATTTTAATTTATCAAAAAATAATAACTCTCATATTAAAATATTATAAATATAAAAAAAATATCGCAAGGAATAATTAAATACAAAAGTCAATTAAAAAAATAAACTTTCAATATTAATAAGATCGTTTTTAACAAATCATTTTTATCATCAGTTAATTTTTATCATATTAATTAATGTAGAAAAATTTTGATAAAATTCCTGTAAACTACTAAATAAATATTTCGATAACACAATATATTGACGATTAAAAATAATACCTTTTTATTGTTATTTCAACTCCAATATATGTATAATAATTTTAATAGAAATATAAAATTAATTTATTAAGTACTAAAATCCAAGTATTTATATTATAATTTAATCGTAAAGATTAAATGAAATAAAATAATTTATTAATAATAATTATTTAATATTATATATAAAATACATTTAATATATATAACAAATTTGTGCTTATATTTCAATTGTAATCATAAATTTTCTTGTGCTAATCATAACAATATAAAGTATTTAAATTATTTATATACAACAATATTTTTATTTTATAAGAAACTTGACGAAATTATGTTAAAAAAAATAATAATCTTAATTTTTATCTTAATCTTAATTACTATAGAAGGAGTTTAACAAAAATTACAAACACATTAAAAACTGTTAAAGAACCCCTTTAATTAAACTATTTATTTCATTGATTATTTAAAAGACTTTTTATAGAATTTGTTTTAATATAATAAATAAAACTGTAATAAAAACTATTCAAAAAATTTTAAATATAGTCATTTATAATCATTCAGCAATCATTTATCTATTCACTTTGTTCGTTTGATATGCTTTAAATTATATAAATATTGATAAAGGAAAAATTATTATTTTCTTTACTTATGGATAATAATAATAATATAAAATCATTTTATTGTACTTACTAGGATATTTGCAGTCGATTTCATCACTACCATCTTCGCAATCAGATTTAAAATCGCATTTTTGTGTTTGCAAAATACATCTAGAAATATCGCAGGCAATCTCTCCATATTGACACTCTAGAAAGTAAATAATATAATTATTTAAGAGCACGTATGTATATGTGATTATCTGTGTTTACATCATGTGTATATGTATGTTTATTTGGTAGAAAAATACATATAACAAGGATTTTCTGATAAACTTCTCAAATAATATGCAATTTTATTTCTAACCTATATATCTAGTTTAATTTTATGGATATTTAATTATTTGTAGAATTATAAAATAACAATGCATTATCCAAATATAAATACAACAATAGCTACTAAACTACTAATAATAATAACTGGTAAAAATTCCGAATTATATAAAAATATAATAATACACGTAATAATATATTGGATTTTAATTTATAGATTTTTATAAAAAAGACAAAAAACATATTAAATTCGATAATCTACTTGATTTCGATAAAAACTTTTTTATAAATAATATAATGTTGTTAAAATTTCCTTAATTGCTTATTTTACAATTTACTATCAGCCACATTGTTAATACTTAAAGGAATAAATATCAGAATATCAAAAATAATTTATATTAATATAAATGTAATATTTTGATCACCACATTGCAATATATATATACAATTAAATATATACAAATAATATACAATTATTTGAAATATAACTTAAAAACTTTTAAATCGCACTTAATCAATTTTAATAACGAAAACATATTTATAGTAATCTAACAAGTAATCATAAAAAAATATTCATATCCTTCAATAAAAGTTTATTATATCTGAAAGAAACAGTATACATTTTATATTCATATATTTATTCGACTCGTTTAATTGTTAAAATAGAAGAAATAATAGGCCGAATAAGAGATTTAATAAAAGATTCAGTTGTAATTTATCTAAATATAAACACCAAAGTTTCATCATTGCTCACAGCTATAAAAAAAAATATATATATATATAAAATAATCTACCATTCCAATTAGACGTTGCTTTTTATTGCAATAAAAAATTAATTATATTAAAAATATTGAGAAATTACATTTTCCATATATGCAGTATCGCTATTACTTAAAAGTATAAATTAATCTTTTAGATAAATGTATTTATTAACAATGGGAAGAGAATAAAATAAATATTGCGAAATAATAACGTCACATCTTCATAATTAATTATATACTATGATATCATCATTAATTATACACTATATACTATGATGAAATCAATTCTACAGAAATACAAATTTTAGATCATCAAAGAAACAATTGAAAATATATGAACTTTTAAATTTATTAACCAAATGAATACTGTTAGTAACTAAACTGATTTTATAGAATATATAAAATCTATTGAAAATATATTAAGTTGATTTAATAAGTACTTAATAAAAATTAACGAAATATTGGATTAATGAAAGAATAAAACAAACATTTATTACAATAAATAACACATTGAAAAAATTAATCATAAATTCTTTATTTTATTGTTATATTTTTCATAATTATATTAATTTTCCGTTTAATATATTTCATTTATATTATGTTTCGTGTACATTTGTATTATATTTCTTATAAAAGTTATATTTATAAATCAAATGAAGTGATAGATGATTATAATATTATTTTTAATGATTAGAATTAAATAATGTATAAAATTTAATAAAGTATATTAGTTATTAATGAATCAGATAATCAATACTCAACGCAAAATATTAAATCAAAGGAGAAATTATTAATCAATATTTCAATTATTTAAAAATTAAATAATACAACCTTAAAAACGAAGATAGTTAAGATAATAAATTAAAATTTTTTATTCATCATATATTCTATATTTTTTATTGATTATATATTATATATTCTTAATATATTCTTACAAACATAGCATAAACGTGGAATAGATTTTGGATGTCAATATGCTATATGAATATCATTGAATACTTATGATAACCATGTTAATCATGATACATAGCAAATTATTAAAATTTCGTTCCATACCTTTTGGTATTTTGATATATTGGATATAAAAATAAAAGTAAAAATAAGAATTATAAAATATTTTAATACGTATAATTATTGTATTGGAAAAAAAATCAGTTTAAAAGTGTGATAATTGCTATGAAAAAAATGATGGTAAAATAATATTTAGCCTTACATATTTTCATTAATTCATTTATTTATATTTTTTGAAAATCATATATAAATACTCTGTCATAAAAAGTAAGAAAATAAATAGCATTATTAAAAATAATGTTGTTTCATTTTTTATTATTCCATCATATTACTCATATACTACCAAATTATAATCTGAAATAACTACAGTCAATGGAAAGTTTTAAAAGAAAAAATTTAAAAATTGGTTCTAACATGATCGTTAATAAAACCATATAAAAAAAGTTTTTTTATGATGTGTGTATTAAAAAAAAAAAAAAAAAAAAAAAAATATTAAATCACATATATGAATAGATACAATTGATCATATAAGACTCACTTACCTAAAACAGCTCTTAATTGAAATGTCAACGGATTAACTGTAAATTTTCCGAATGAATAATAAGTGTTAAGATGCTTTTCAAGTACATGTCTAACATCTGTTTCACTACTCATCGTACGTATATCCAGATGGACATGAGATTCAAATGGATCTGGAGCATTCCTAAATATAAATTTCTTCTATTTTTATTGTATTCGCTTAGTAAATAAATTTTTCAAATCAAATCATCAAATATATTATAATGGTAATTTTATGAAAAATTATAAATACGTTTAGTACGTAGAAAAATATTTAAATTGAAATGTGAAGATAGAACATTTATTAAAAAAAAAATTTTTTATTTAATCACCTACGTTATAATCAAAGAAAGCTTAAGTAATGATTAGGTACCAAACTTTTTTAAATACTTCTATCTGATTCTGAACGTTTAATTCCAAATAGAGGAGATGTATACTTTTTTAATTTTATTAATGTTCGAGATAAGATATTATTGTTATTATTATTATTAGTATTATTCAATTCAAGAAAAGCTTAAGATTTTATCAATTTATATAATTGTTATTTTTTATTTTTACATATTATTATTCATTATTATTATTTATTTTTTACAATTTTAATAATTACATCGATAATCAATTAAAATCAGGAGTAAAACTAGCTTAAATGTAAATTTTATAAATTTTGTAAATAATAATTTTATAATTTTATAAATTTATAAATAATAAACGGAAAATTGCAATCTTATTATATCGTTTTATGGAATATACTGTTATATTCATTAATTTACCTTTTAAATTATCTTTCATATAGACTTTATATATACTTAAAGTATTTTTAATTTATAAATATAAGCATACTTATTAATAATTTTTAATAATATTAAAGAGTATAAATCTTTATGTATATAATTAACACAAATAAAATATTTTCAACACGCATAAAAGGAATATAATTATTACACTACGTGTAGAATACAAATTTTTAATGAAATAGATTATTACAAATAAACTAGTCCTTAAAAACCTGTCTGAATATATTTAAGTGGATAAGAAGTACTTTTTGCTACTTCCGGAAGCCGTCAAATTCTGCGTCATAATCGTCTGGTTATTTTTATCAATTTTATTTGAATGCTCACTTATATATTGCTAAGTTGGATTTTAATTATTCAATAGTTTTTATAGCATTGATAATACTTATTGAAATAAATTTGTTTTTTTTTATTTATAAAAATATAAATATTTTAAAAATATATTTGATTTATATTGAATTAGAAATCATTATTTTGTAATTGTGCTTTTAACCGAATACTATTTTTTTTCTGCATAACTATTGGTCTATTATTACTATTAATAGTCTCAGAATAATTCGGACTGCCTAGTTCGTACGCATTTCTTAAGCTAAGAAAAATTCTCGTAAGTTTTTTATGTAAGTACAAAGTTTGTTATGAATTTATGAAATATTCCTTTCGCTCAGAAGACTTGCTTCTGTAATTCATTATTTCATGCACTTAAATAAATATCATATAGAATAATATAAAATATCGTTTCGCGTTAAAAAAAAATTAAACTATGAAATTAAAAAAGAAAAATTGAGATTATGCCAATGAAATTATGCTCAAGAATAAAAATGTATAAAATACATCAGATGTGGACATCCTGTTTGTCACGAAAAACAATCATTCCGTAAAATAATAGAAGCATACTTATAATCGATTCTTACTAAATATAATTAAAGTTAACTTAAGCCATATTAAGTTTGAAAAATAATGAATAACAACGTTCATATCAATACTTGTAAATTACACTTTTTCGCATTCTGGTGATCATTATCAAACAACTTTCTTCAAAATAATTTAATAATTTATATTTAAATATATATTTTATTCTATTATTGGAATAATCTAGAACTTGAATTTGATAGAACTATTGATATAGCTAAAAATAAATTACATATATATATAATATAATTATATAGATAAAAAAATATAGATAAAATTTATACTCGATCATAACAAATTGAATGTGAGAACTGAATTATCTGGAAGATTATATTTCTCTTCATACATTTGCACTTCTCTTTTTTTACATTTCTCTTCATACTATAATGAAAAAACTGCATTGTAAAGTGATTACAATTTGCCTAGTAAACATGAAAAAACTGATCAACCGTTATAAATAAGTAAAAAAGAAACCCATTTGTGTAAAATTAAAATTTAATACTCTTCCTGAATATTCCATTTTGATAACTTAACTATCAAAAACTTGCTATAATCATGTATTTTGTGAATAAGAAGTTACCGTTCAATCATTATTTAACGGATCATTTAATTATAATTAAAATAGGCTTAAGAATTTTTTTCTAGTATTCAACAACCGAATTAGTTGTTTTTTTTTTACTTGTTATTAATCAAATCTATAATCTTAATAAATTAATTTTTATTTTTCATGTTTAATAAAATAATTTTTTAGCTTATTATTATTGTTCAAATAATTATAAAGTAATATTTAGATTTTGATTTTTTGTATAGTATGTTGTAATTTATAATCTCCAAAATTAAATTTTCTTATTAACTCCTGATGCTTAATATAGCCAATTTACTATAGAACATAAAGTATTAAATTATGCAAAATATGTTGTTATTTATTAAATTAATGAAATAACTATTTGTAAAATCAGTTAAAATATACAATTATAAATAATTTAGTTGATTAATAAGATGTTATTAATTTTTACTTTAAAAAATATCATGTTTGATCTGTGATTAAATTCATAAAAATTTATATTAATAATAGCTAAATATTCAAAATATTATTAATAAAAAGTTTTTAATTAAAAATTAAACATTTATAATTTCTTAAACACTAATTTTTATATGATATGTATCACTTTTAAACAAAATTTGAATACCTTCAATGATAAAGTTAAAACAATATTAGTCCTTCATATCATACTTACTCCATTTTAACAAAAGTTACATGATGGTCTTTTTTCAAATTTTGATGCAAAATTTCTTCCACGCTCTTAGTGAGATTTTCAGCGAATTTTTTAAATTTTTCACCATCTCTTCTTTCAAATTCTTCCCGATATGGTTCTTTAATTGTTATAGATATTCTATAAACATCTAAAAAATCAAACAAAAAATAATTATTTAGTTAATTAAAATAAAACATATTTTTATTATACATAATTACATTAACCTATAAAATCCCTATATCCAAGCAAAAATTGATTAATATATTCGTCATCAACTTATATTATAAATGTTGATTATTAAAAAACTTAGACAATCGATTTATTCGAAGACAATTCGAAAGGTTATTAATAACTCTTGTTTTATAACATTCTTTTATAAAAATTACATTAACATAATTATGATATTTTTAATTAAAAGCAAATCCAAAATGTATTGATCATTCCCTTTGGGCTTTTAAATAGAATTATTAAAAATTTTTGTTAATCAACATAATTAATTAAAACATTAATTATTTACAATAATACTAAACCTATATATTGAATAATACATACTTTTCTCATCATAGCTATTTGGTTCTTCAATTAAGTTTGATTCGGTTATTGTATTTATATGGTTTAATGTTGTAGATCGTATTGTATGGAAATCGACGCTGTTCGCGCTTCCTTCAACTTCTTTCTCTATCTCTAGTTCACCGGAACCCAAATCATCTTCATCGTCACCTTGTCGAAATTTTGAAGCTAATTTTGGTTGTATCGGATTATCATTCTGTAACAACAAAATTTTGATTATATAAAAATTACATAAATCAAAATTAATGATAATCTACTTCAATTATTAGATTCAACGCAAGAAATTCATAAGAATATGCACTAACAAAATCAATTATTATTGATATTATTTTATTTCTGTTTCTATTGATAAATATAAACGTAAAAATTTGCAAATGTAAATCAACCAGTAATTATATGACTAGTAAATGTATCTTTAACTTACTATCCAAGTAATCTATAAAAATCTATAAAAAAATCTATAACAAAACTTTTCTAGTTTTAATTTTTTACCATTATATCATTCGGAGTAGCAACATTTTCCACTAACCAACATACACACTTCTTAATATTACAAAATATTTTAGAGAATATATTAAATAAAAAACTTATCGTCGACGAATTTCTAAGAACAAGACAATTCCAATGACAATAGTGCTAAGTAATGCCAAAATCAATATTACATATCTTGCAAATCTTCATTATAGAGAAAAATACGTTTTTTCAATGTATTTCTACGATATAATTCTTTATCTCAATCACTCAAATTTACATGAATTAAATAAGGGTTGCCTCAATAATATCTTAATAGCACCTATATTATTGTCAAAATATGCTTGATTTTATACGTTTATTCATAAAATAAAAAAAGCAATCTAATCAATTTACTTCCCCAAAATTTTAAAGAAAGTCCTTTGAAGCTTCAAAAAGTATAAAGCAAACACAAAAATTGAAGTGAACTTTAAATGAATTACTTTAGCAACGAAAATTTCATTGAAAATAATAGTTAAAATCTTTAATTTGACAACGACTAATATCGAACAGCTATTTGAAGCAGCAATTGAAAATATTTCTCTAATAAATATTAATAATAATGAACAATTACAATCGTAATAAATAGCTTTCAAAACTATAAAGCCCACTATTTAAAGACTTTGATATTAAATACTTTTAGCTACTGATCAACAGTATCCTTTATTTCTACATTTTTTATTTTTTATTGTTGAACATAATCAATAAACATAATAAACATACAGTCATCAATATATTAAGTCATAACAGTTTGAAAATATGCATGGTGTTTGATTTATGGAACCAGAAATTGTATAAATTATTTTTATAACTGTATTTTATTAATTATATAATAAATTATTATTTTCGAAGTATTTAATTTTCTCATTTAAAATAAATTTATGTTAATTGTTATGGAGACTTTAAATATTACGTATAAATACTTCATTCACTATTATTCGTATTTTTTTTAACGAATATTCAAGTAAATTCTATTAATGTATTAGATTCATTTTATTTCACATGCCATATTTCTTTATTAAAAAAAAGAAATTCGTATTTATTACTATAGTATTATAACTAAATCAAATTTTTAATATAAAAATAATTACTAACCGTGTAAAAAGATTTTCTAGATTTATATAATGAATCATCATTCTTAATTTCATTATCCTCTTTAACTTCTCTTTTGGGACGATCGTCAGTATTAAATATTGAGTTTGTGTCTCTTGATTTTTCAAACTGACCTATAACAAAATTTATATAAAACAATAAATAATTAACCTAATGACAATGAGTGATAATTGTAATTACTAAAAAATCTCTAATTTCATATTTCTTCTAATAAAATTATTAAATAAGTATTTTTTGACGGTAAAAATATATAAAGAATATAATATTTTAATAAATTTAATAAACATTTTATCTAATAAATATAGGTACTTTTTGAAAAATTTTTATTTTAGTAAAAATAATATTTAAAAAAATGTAATTAAATTAATAGTCCAAAATTTTAATTTTAAACAAATAATGAAAAAAATATTTTTAGCATTAAAAAGTGAATTTTAATCAATTAAATCAATTGCGTTTAATTAATCACTAACTTCGATAAATATTTTTAACATTGAAGTATACATAAAAAATATTATTACAAAATAGAATTTCATAATAAGCGCTACTCGGGTATAAATTTATAAATAAAAAATGTTAATGACTAAGAATATTATAATTTATATACTTATAAAAAGTATATTTGTACTTTCCGCTATTTTTTATTACTCTGTATTTATATGTGCAAGTTTTATAATTAATTACCTATTGATGGATATTTTGATAATGAAAATATATTTATTTTACCAAAATTCAACCAGTTCCAAATATTGTGGAATAATGATTCTTGGTATTCTTGTTCTGACGTTGTATCTGCAATTGGTAATTTTCCATCGTGATCAAATACCAAATCATCATTCTAAAACAAAAGAACAATATCTTGATATATTAAAAGTTATATAATTCTAGTAATAGGTTATAATTTTTATATTTACATTTCTCCATATATAAATAAAGGAAAGTAATTTCTAGACAAATATAAAAATGTTATAGTAACTTATTAAAATTTTTAATATTAAATATAATTTAGAAATCGTTATTACATTTTTCGAAATATAACTTCGAAATATAACATTTAGATGAAAAATTATTTAGTGAATTTTTAAACTCCAATTTTCATACAAAATATAATTCTGAATGAATATCTTATAGTCACATTGTAATTTAATATTCTGCTTGTAAAAAGAAGTCCTTGTTTAGAAATGTTATACTGTATAAAAAATAACATTTCTTTAATTCAGTAAGAAAAAAAAAATATTAAAATTTCTTTAAATCAAAGTGACAGCAAAATTTCGATTCGCATAACAAAAATTTCGCTCGTACGTTGATATAATGAAAAAACATTTCAACTTCAATCACAAGTACAAGAAAGTGTCGTCAGAACAATTGGTGTTTCTATTTCAAGTACTATTTTGGTTGAATTGTATAAATATTTATTAGAATTTTCGAAGATCTGTGCTAATAACTGTATATATTATTAAATTTAATGCAACCTTACTGCAGCTAATTTTATTTCAATTATATAGTATTTTATTTTTGAAAAAACTGAAATGAATAAAGTACTGAAATTCAAAAAAAAAAAAAATTTATTAGAGAATGATGAATTTAGAATTAAATAATTAGAAAATAAATTGTACTGATTTATTTTTAGTATAATTGTAATCTAACTCTAGTGTGTTCTAATAATATTGTTCAAATAATATTGTAATGACAATATTTTATTAATGTATGGATTTAAGTAAAAATAATTTGTGCAAAAATATAATATAATAAAATATATCAAAAAACCAAATTATATCATATTATATTTTGTTCAAATTTATGTATTGATAAATTCATTGGAGTTTGATTAAATGTATAATTACAAATACATATGGATTAATATTCGTAATAATATAAATATTATTGGCATAATAATAGTAGTAATAATAATGATATAAAAAAATTGGAAACATCTATGGCTTCCGTATTCTTAATAATAGAAGAAAAGTAAATACTAAAATAATTTAATTATTTTGTTTTGCAAAAATCGTGTTTAAATAAATGAAGTATAAAAACGTAGTTAATATTAAATTTATACTTAAGTAATATTAATATTTTTTATGAATTTAAGTCAAAAGAAAATACATTTTAAAATCATCAATCAGAAAGTAATTGATAAAAAGCTTTAATATATTATATAAAAAATAATACATAAATATATATATATATATATATATATATATTTTTTTTTATTATTCATAATATTATGAAGTTTTTTTTAAAGATTATATTGTGTATCTCTTTTTGTGTATTATGTATTGAGGGTAAAGAATATGTTTTAAGAAAATATGAATGCATCCAAACTTGTAAAGGTTAGATTAATGACATTACTCAATAATTATTATGTTTTATATAATATTTCATGCTACTATTGCTTATTTATAAGTTTATAGATATATTATTGATACAATTAATTTACATTTATAAAAATCTCATATAAAAACCTTATATACAATTAATACAATTAAACAATCTACAATCTTACATAAAATAAAAAAAATATATAGGTTTATTATGTCGTATATTAAAATATATAATTTAGAAGAAAAAATATTTATTAAAAACTGTTGATAAGCTTAATTTTAACTTTTAAAATTGGTTTTAAAATTAATATTATATTAATTTTATTTAGAATTTCCTGTCCCTGATCAAAATGATTGTTTAAAATTTTGCAACAAAATATTTAACAAACAAAGTAAGAAACTAAAAACATATTATTTTAATGTTTATTATAATTTTTATAATAAGTTTTTTAGAATAATAAATTCATTGCAAACGATACCTTTTCTATAAATTCAAGTTTTTATTATAGTAACTTTTTTTTTCTAATATTACCTCGAATATTCATGTAATTCATCTTGTAATATTACTTTAATTTCATTTACATATTTCAACTTATATATCTTAAGTTATTTTTATTAAATTTTGCTACTTTAAATTAAACTTTAAGTAATACATACTTATCCCAAATCTTTCTACTTTAAGTAATGTACAAATAATATCACCTCTTATCACCATTAGGGTATCTGAATAATCGAGTGAATCTCAATCATCTAACATATTACATCATCTTGCCCTCTAGAAAATTTGGGATGTTTCTTTTAATATTTCTTTAAGATCAATTAATTATTTGCAAAGAAGAACTCTGCTATCTACTAATAATAGAGCAAAATAACAAACCTTTTTCGCATCATGATCTTATAAAGTAAATTAAATAATAGCATTTATTTAAGATACATCTTTCATATAAAATGTACTATCTTCTCATTATCTAATTAATATTTAATATTTGGCAGATACTTTTCACATATTGATTGTACGTAAATAAGCACAAAAAGTTATTTTATACGTCTCATCTGTACATATTCAACGCATATGCAAAACCCTTTTTTTAGTCACTATACACTTTTCTGATGCACCTGTACAATAGTTGTTATTTCTATTTTCTTTGTCAGTGTTTATATTCATGAACAGTTTACTATAAATAATACAAATAATATAAAAAGACGATGAATAATAATTTGTTCTACTGTCAATCAATTACATTTTTTTTTTATACATGTAGACATAAAGTTTTATTTTGATAAACATGGAATTCATGTAAACGTTGATGTTTTAATATAATAAATAATAAATTTTTTTATTAATATGTTTTTTCATTGTTTAGACATTGTAAAAATCACTTCGAAAGCAGATTGTTATAAGATATGTGAACGTATGTTATATAATTATTCAATATATTATTATAATCTAATTTTAACTAAATTTATTCTAATTACTTAAAAATAAATTAAATAAAATTTAATCATAATTAAAAGTAGATAAAAAGTAGTTTTAACTTAATTATATAATAAATATTTATTAATTTATAGAATAAAAAGTACTTGAGTTTTGTAAATATATTCAATCAATCACATTGATTCTTCAGATATTTTTACAAATACAAAATATCTAATTTACGACTTTTTACAAATTAATTATGCTACGTAAGAATATTACAAAATAAATAGAGAAACAAATAATTTTATTTTACTTTTAAGATACCATAATTATATTATATATATATATATATATATATATATATATATATATATATATAATTTATATAATTTATTATATAATGATTGAATATTTAATTAAAATATTGAAATATATATAAATTATAAAATAAGTATATTAAGATAAAATATATTTAAACTATTAAATTATTATAACTGATACATTTCATAAATTTTAACTGTGCAAAAATTTTACCGATTAATTTATATAAAGTATGTTTATAAATAATTAAAGTTTCAAGTCTCAATGAATGAATGAAAATTATATTCTTCTAATAATATGTTCTTTACTTACTTAGATTTTCCTACAGTATATCTAGAGGAATGTAAAGACGACTGTAATGAAGTGTTTAAATCTTCTGAGAAAAGTTTATTAGAGAAAAAAAATTTATAATTATAAGAAAAAATATTATAAATTTTCTGAAACATAATATGTATCATCACAAAATGAATTGTAAAAAAAAAATCCACATTTTTAATTATAATTGAATGAAAACTACTATTCCAGTCCAGATTTTATTGACAATATATTTTATAATTTTTAAGGCTTTAAATAATTTGGTGAATAAAAAATCAATATTTAAAAAGTTTAACGTTAAATTACAAAAATTGTACATTCTTTTAATTTATCGGATTGTTAGTTATTAATTAAAAAATGTAATTCTAGAAAAATTGTAATAAATTAAGTATAATAAACTTATTTATATCAATTAATTATTTAATACACTTAATATTATTGATATTTTTTAAACGAAAATTAAAAAAGGAATCTTTAATTCATAAGTTATGATTCATTGAATAATGTATCATATATCAATAATATATATATATATATATATATATATATATATATATATATATATATATATATATATATATATATATATATATATATATATATATGTATATATGTATGTATGTATGTGTGTGTGTGTGTGTGTGTGTGTGTGTGTTCGGGCGCGTGTACGTTTAATTGCATAATTAATAAAATAATCAATAAAAGTATATATTTCTGTATAATTATGTAAGATTTTATATTAATACAATTTTAAATATAATTAACCATCTAAACAAAGAAGTTCACATCAAGTACTTCTTATCAACAGTAAACTACTTAAAAAATGGGCTAGAATAATCAACAGGAAGTTAAATATACAACTTAATTTATTCCGTCGGAAAATTCATGAAAAAAAGGTCTGCTTGTAATTGAGGATGTAGTAAAATTTGCAAAACTAATTAATCATACAGTTTAGACGATACAGCTATACGATTATATAGTTCAATAAAGAGGACATAGTCAAATTCATGTTTATCAATCAGTTCTTCTGTAAACATTTTCATTGTTTTCTTTTTTCTTCAAATCCATAAAAATGTTTGTAAAGATCAACACTAAATATATCAAATGATTTCATTAGTCTATTTACAATTCAATTCAATATTGAAAAAATAATAGGTAACATTTATTGAAATTAATTGTCTGTAGTTAAAAAAAATCAATTACAAATTTTCCATTCAATTGGCCATAATTATATAGACCTACAGTCTATAACATCAATACTTAACCAAATAATCAATATACTCTTAATTGCTACATTTATTGTAAAATATACTGATAGTGATCATAACAAAAAAGAAATCCATTTTCACTATGTAAAGGCAAATATAAATTCAAATCTACACGTAGTTTTTATTTATCGTTTTCTATCACTAGAAAATAAATAACCCAAATATATTGAAAAAAGATATCGATCTCCCGGAT